TTTCTTTCTTGTTATTGAGAATTTTATTTTTATGTTCATCCACCTTCTTTAATGCTAATATATCAGCCTGTTATTATGCAAATGAATGAAAAAAGGCAAATAAATTTTGTTATTTTCATTCTAGAAATAATCGAAAACCTCTCATTTCGACACATTCTTTCAAACAATAGTAAACTTTCGCTAAAGAAAAGGAGGACAAGCAAGTTATACAGAAAGCAAAAAAGAAGATAAAAGATGTATGTTCAACTTTTTGTTTGTTCTCTTAATAATTCTTTCAAAGTGTTGTAATGCATAGTTACTTTCTATCGGAATTGACAGGATAGATTTTATGGCATATGTTGAGATAGCTGGTATTATGTTGGCTTATATCAGGGGGATGTGGGTGGGAGGGGACCTGATTTTTTACCCCGGTGGACTATAATCCTCAAGATATCTTGCGATCGACTGATCGTTATGAGGTCATACATAAAATCGAGAGACTTTTGAATTATGCAGATAATTGCACACACGCATACAAAAAATTCCACCGCCGCCATTTAGCTAGGCTCTGTCGGTGCATTCGTAATGAAATCGCCCCCGAAAAAATCTCTTATTTAAGTTCCATTTAAATTGATTATTTTTTTGTTCCCTGAATTAATGTTTCATCGCCCATTTCGGATTTATTCAAATCATAAAATTCACATCTAAGGCCTGACGAATTATACGCAGTAAGTGATAAACTTCCTCAATACACTTGCAAATAATCCATGTATTATCTAAACAGCGATAAATAAATATTCTCAAATCAAAGATGTTACGTTTCATGACTGCTCAAACTTCAGTATTTAACTTACGGTTTCCTCCAAGTCCAATTCTTCGCTCGCATGGGAGAAATCGAACTTTCTGATTTATAAAACACATAACATGCGCTGCACAAAATCTGGTTCGATGCAATTTTTTGGAATATTTTATAATCATTCAACATCAGACGCGATTGATGAATGTCAGGTGTATTGATGATTTTGACAAAATTTATAATCATAACACTGTTTTCGTCGTCTTTTGCAGTTATCGCTCAATTATGTATGCTGTATGCTCCAAGTTTTTCTTTATTGTAAGAAATGCAGATGGGCCTTAATTGTCAATTCTTTTTAGTTATTTAGACTTTTAACAAGTCTTCACCCACCTTCGTTTGCTTTTCGTACATATGTTCTCTTGGTCACTATAATGATCTAAATAAGCAATAATCAGTATTTCATTAATTTTCAACCCACGAAAATCAGTATAAATACGGAGGTACCACTTCTTGATTATTAAGTTTTTTGAATGAGGGAAAAAGTAGTGTAAAAGTGTAGTATTCTTTGAAATTGATGATTTTATTCATTGATGAAATTTCGAACTAAAATTATTGGTATTAGTCAAAAAGGATATTATAGATGTGAGTTGATTATTTGTTGCTAATTTTTCTTACACCGTTCAAGTTTGCGCCAAAACACTTCGTAGCTCGGCCAACATTAAACGCAAAATCCAAGCTCCTATTACAACCTAAAATTGTGAACTCTTCCCAAAACTTATCCGTAATTCCAAGTACATCAGTACAGCAAATGAATAAAACAAGGCATATAAATTTTGTTCTTTTCACTCTAGATGCAATCGAAAAACCTCTCATTTTGACACATCATTCCTTCAAACAATAGTTAAATTTCGCTAAACAAAAGGAGGAGACAGCATTTTATACAGAAAGCAAAAGAAGGATATATATATATATATATAATTTTCCGAGTTTTGAGTATGCAGATAACTGCACACACGCATACAAAAAATTCCACCGACGCTATTTATCTGGGCTCTGTCGGTGCATCCGTAATGAAGTTCTAATTAAATTGATTATTTAATTGTTCTCGGAATAAATATTTTATTGCCTAATTCGGATTTATTTAAATCATAAAATTCAGATCTGAGACCTGACTTATTGTACGAAGTAAGTGTTAAACATCCTCAAAAAGGTTGCAAAGTATCTATGTATTATCTAAACCGCGATAAATAAAATTCTCTAATTAAAGGTGTAACATTTCATGACTGCTCAAACTTCAGTATATATATATCTAATTTACGATTTCCTCCAAGTTCGATTCTTTGCTTGCATGGAAGAAATCGAACGTTCTAAATGCCACTGTTACCATTGCAAATAACATTTATATATCATACTACTCTTAGAGGAGACAATAACTTTCGCATAATGCAGGAGTTATTCTGCGATGGTTTGTCAGTTTATTGTAAGAAATGCAGATGGGCCTTACTTTTCAATTCTTTTTTGTAAATGAATCTTTTAACAAGTTTTTATCCACCGTCGTTTGCTTGTACATCTCTATGACCCCATAATGATCAAAATAAGCAATAATAAGTATTTCATTAATTTCAAACCCACTAGAATCAGTAAAAAAACAATTCGGAGGTACACTTTTTGGATATTACGTTTGTTTGATGAGGGGAAAAGGTAGTGTAAAAAGTGTTATTATTTAAATTTATTATTTTATTTCAAATTATTTAAATTCAATTGAAGTTTCGAACTAAAAATATTAGTAGTAGTCAAAAACGAATATTGGAGATTGAGTTGATTATTTGTTGCTAAATTTTCTTACGCCGTTCAAGTTTGCGCCAAAACATTCGTATCTCGGCCTACATTAAACACAAAATCCAAGCTTCTATCACAAACCTCAATTGTGAATTCCTCCCAAAACCTATCCGTAATTCCCAAGAACATCAGTTTTGGTAACCACTCAAAGATTTGTTTTTCCATCTATTTTAAGCATGCTGTCACAAAAAAACTGAAACATTATGTTGCTTATTATTATTGCGAGCAAAGCCAACATGACTTTTTCCAAAGAAAAACTAACAAAACTAACTAAGTCTTACAGTATTATAATATCACATCTACATTTCACAGCAATCAGCACATGACATTATGTTAATAGAACTTTATGCAAATATAAATCATAAAAAGTTGTAACAGTATTTACGTACCCAATGTTTTAAGTCTCTATGTAGCACAGTCTTACGAAGTATAATCCCAGATTGAAAGCAATTTATTTCGTATGTCCAAAATATGATGTAAATGCACACTATTATGTTACAATTGTACTAATCACAAGGTAGAACGAAGATTGAAGCACCGAAGTAATACAATGTATCCAACTCAATACAATTTATTGGACACGTAGTGGACATAACGTTCGTTTCAAAATTTTTGTTGTTATTGTGTCTCCATCATTTTTTTTTTTGAAAATCGCTTTTCTCTTTGACTACTGGACCAATTGCTTTGAAATTTTTCAGTGAGTAAAGATTGATTATTTGCCAGAGACTATTACTTTTATTTATTTCTAAATTTCGCATGAAATCTGATATTTCGTCTAAAATTTCGCTGTATTATTTAATCCATGGACCTTTCCCCGAGCATCGACTCCTTGTTTACTTCGTGACATTGCCAATCAGCAAGATGCAAAAAGTGACGGTTACAATGCTCCCTTTTCGCATCCGCTTAGACACTTTCTCGTTCAAACTGATTTTCCAAAGCGTGGTCGTAAACATTACCTTGTTTTCCCCGTTTTTTGAACTCTATTCGTTAGTTTTCAGTTGTGTTTCGGAAACTTAAATCAGATAATTCAATGATCACTCTGTCTTCCTAAGAGTTTCAATTTAATTGCAGTAATAAGAAATTAGTGTAGAAATAGCTGTGATAGACTGGGGTAAAATTCTTTACCTGGTACTTTTTAAAAAAACAGATTGTTGTATGCAATGAATCATAATGATGGTTTATAAACACATACCCATTCTACAGGCGCCAACTCGTAAAAGCACTCTTAAAATAGCCCCGAAAATTTTGCAATGGTAAAGATATAGGAAGAATTTTTCGGGGTCAAATGTCGGGGGAAGGTCCATGGGAACACTGGCTGTCCGGTTGGATTCTGTAAATTATTTCTACGCGAAACTCGGAATTTTTTGTGGGTACCGGTGGCGTCAAAAGGTAAATACTGCTTCGCTCTGTTTAACGTGTCCATATATATATGAGCACAGCTCTGTTGTTAATTATCACATTGTAATCGAATCAAATGACAAAATTGCTGAACGATGCAAGGTCACTTCGTATTCTTTTATCAATGACCTCTTCATAGTCTACAAATAAAACGTAACTTAAGTTTACGGATAGGTTGAAGATAGGAAGTAAGGGTATATATACATAAATAATATGGAATCCGGATGTGTTTGAATTTTTTGCTAAATTAAAATTTGTGGCAAAGAATATTTCATTGCACAGCTGTGCTTAAAATGATCAACAGTCGTTTCCAACAACCTGGATGTCTATATTCCAGTAAACAATGAACAAATGCTTGAAATTCATTCATTTAAATGCAGTTCGAGAAACGAATGACTTGAGCTACCAACGTTTCTGGGGCGATATATCATCTTTCGGATTTCCAAAGTTGCAATGTTAGAGTTTTTCGTCTTTCCACCTGTATACAGGGCTGCTACTTTTTCCTGATTGAAAACATCTAGATTGACCTCGAAAAACATCTAGAAAATACATCTAGATTTGAAATGATTAAATTTAACGATTTAAATTATAAATGAGATTTTCATCAATCTTACATCAATATATTTGACTTAAGCTTCTAAGTGATGAAATAATATTCATTCACATATTACAGTATTAAACATATCGCTTTATTCATTTCCAACTGTATAACATCAGGAACGTTGAAAAAAAAATCTAGATGGGGGGTGTCCAACCGCGGACCAAATCTGGCCCGTAAGAAGAAAATTACATTTAGACAGAGAATATGCACATAAACTCTCGATGACAATATGGTCAATGTAGACAGCCGGGATTGCTTTAAATGTAGGCCTTTGTAGTAGAATCAGAAAATGTAAAGTTACAAAATCACAGCTAAGGGGTCGTTGTCTTTGGAAGCGTCCCGCTTTGAAATCACAAAAATATGGTAACCCAAAACATACATACTCTCATTTAAGTAATTACATTTTATTGACACTATTGAATTTACATTTGAACGAGGTTTGCTGTCTTAGCTCTAATATATCAACTCTAAAACATTTGGCCTGACAAAATAAATGTAGACATCATCAACAAAGAGCCCATGCGTATTCACAAATAATGGCAGGAATAAAAGAAAAAAACAAGTTTTGACAAGATCACCACAATTATAATGCTTTTGGTTAGACAGACAGGGTGTAACTAACCAGTTTATTTTGATTCCACAAAGTTCAGCATATTTGTCTTCTAGTTTTAGTTGAAATATTTACGAAAAAGATATGTAATTATTTATAAAGTATTCAACATTATACTACATGACCTGCATTCGTAGCAGTAGCTCAACATTTATGACATGCAGATCTTCTGCAACATTTCAACATACACTACATTTACAAATGGATGTTAAGTATAAATATTATGCATATCTATAATTGAAAATCCTGTTAAAATTACCAGAGCACCAATATTCACTAGAAAATATAACAATATGTTTTATCGTTATATTGTTTTCTTAACCAATCACAGAACATCTGCATGGTTGGAATGAATTCGCAGAAAAGAAATCAAAATTTATATAACTTGACCCAGTATTTATTTAATTTAGTCATTAGTTGAAATAATAATGTCAGATAGTTTTAGGATTTAAAAGATATGCATGTTTGTCATTTTCTCTCACATATGAGAGACATGCACCAGAATTTTCACAAGGACATAGTCAGGATAAGATACAGTTTCCAATGAATAATCAACATGTCATTCATTCAACAAAATATGAGTTGTAATTAAATCAATTTATTCCAAACTTTGCAACATCAATAACTGTTTCAAGACTTTTGTTTGACTTGTTTCCCTTATCTCCCCAGCAAGAAGAAACATTTCATCAACTACAGTGTAAACTCTGTAAAAGTTAAACACCAAATCAAGCTCACAAACGTTGTGAAAATATTCATTCAGCACCTCGACAAAATTGTGTATAGCTTCAAGATAAGCAAGGTTGTTGTCATTCACATCAACACAAATGCAGAAGTACAGTCCTGCATATCGCCTGTAAACAATTTTAAAATTCCGGAACTCAACAAAGTTTGTATGTTTAGCATCACGAACTGTGACGACAGCATGAACTTCTTCAATCAGTTTTTGTTTTTCATCATCATCAAAATGCATATACCTGAAAATAGAACAATTTAATCGCACTTACAAAAACTGTCTGGGACATATTAAGTGTAAAAAGAACTAGTTTCAACTCTGATTCTCTATTTGATGATTACAAAAAATCTCTGGAGCCAATACAGAAGAAATAGTTTATAATCTTCTATGCATTCCATGATTGTCAGTTTATATTAAATATTAAAACCAGTAACAGCTTAAATGATGACCGGACCAGATATGTTTTCAGTTTATATGGAATCTGAATTGACTTCCCCATTACTGGATCAAACATCACATTTACCCAAAATCAGAGAATCAATGACAAAAAATGCAATGACTGGACTAGTACATAAAAAAACTCTATTCCATGGGCCATGGCCTATTTAAAAGGACAACTTGATACTCAGTTATACCACTATATTGACAAAAAACTTCTCTAGGAACATAAACTTGTTTTGAGCAATTCTTTACGAGAATAAAATGCTAAAACTGAACTATGAGCTTTTAAAAAGAAACTTAAAAAATTTAACTAACAAAATTTAAAAATAAACTTATATGGGAATTCCAAAATATTTGCTATGATATTGTGAAAAATACTAATTTGTCATCATGATAATAATAATACCAGTATGTGAAAATAAGGACTTGACATTTGTCCTGCAGTATACGTTCAATTGGATAAAGAAAGAATAGCGAAGCCTTCTTAATGAATCGATTAATATTTACCCATTACTTTAATTGTGGATAAAAAGTCTGTGGGTCAAAGATGTTCAATTACAGTTGGTATTAATGACAACTTGCTGTTGTTATTAGTCATCTTTATGAAATTCATTCGCAAAAACACTGATTTGCGTGGATAAGAATCATCAAAAAACTGTTATTTCAGTGGATCATTGTGTGTAAGTGAAAATAAACTGCAAAGTAGCATCTTGTCCTCGTATAGGCCTACCCCCAAAACATTCTGAGGCCCCCTTTGATTTATGAGCCACTGTTAAAGATGTGAAAAATAAACAGGTCAATACTCAATAGTATTGTTGAGTTATCAATGATGGAACAGCACTGTCTGACTGTTAGCAGTATCTGCACATTGAGTAGTTCGAACATTGTCAGATTGAATTAAATCCAATTTTATTATCACTTTTTAACACTGAAACGTTACCGGTAGTACCGGTAGGCCTACCGGTATGTTTTTTTCATTAATTTGGAAAAATACCGGTATGGCCGGTCACTTTGTAACCCAAAGGTAAGTGGCTCACCATCCTTGAAATATGATATCATTTGTGCAAATATGATTGATCTAATTTCAAACAACTTCGAAGTAGGCTATGCCAATGTAAAATTTTCTTGAAATGCCGTATGGTACCGGTATATGGGATCTTAATGGGGCCGACATTCGATTAGGGTACAACACGATTTAAAATATTAAAAGAATTTTAGTTGTTCACTTTGCTACACCCAATACAGCAATAAGTCTGTCTTACGCAGAATGAATTACTGACATGACGGATTTCGTTAAAATCAAGGGCGCGGCCGGTACCGGTATAGCGTTACAGGCAGCCTACCTACGCTTGAGACATACTTTAATTTTACCAGAACACAGAAATAGGGTTATAAAAATTGGGCTGTATTACGGCGTTGAACTACGGTACGATATGTAAAGTACGGGGACCACCTGACCGTACCGGTAGCGGTAAAGACTTACCATTTCGCCAGCCTTGTCTTTCCTGCTCTATTCTGTATCAATATGAACCTGATCATTGTGGGATAGAAATGTCTAGAAGATTCATACGATAGATAGAAGCTACCGGTACCGCAGCACCGTGACGGTTAACCAAAATTACCTTCCGATGAATAGTTTAGAGATCGACCACTTAGGTGAGTAAACACGTACCACTTCCTCTTGGCAAAACCTTCCATCTAATATTTTGTACGTCATAAACCTTATTTAAGGTTTCGTTTGCTCCCCTGATTTCATAATCAGTTTTTGTTTATTTGTTTTTATCTGTCAAATGTATTGTTATGCTGATTATTGTCCTAACTATTTCTATGTGACTATCTTTTTTATTTTATTTCTTATTTATATACATTTAACTGTGAATCCTAATAGTGAACTTGGGGGGGAGCTGACTGCGATGACCTTATGGTCGTATCGCTCCCCCCAGTCTATACCGAATTAACTTTGTGTATATTGTATATATTATTTTGTATACCATTGTTCGTTTACGGTTGACAAAATAATAAATCTCTCTTTCTCTCTCTCTCTCTATGTACCTGTTACATCTATGTGTACCCAACACATTAAACAACATGATGCGCAACTCCGGCATTTTTGTCCGAAGATCGTATTCGATAGCACGCTCCAATGCACATACTTGACGAGACGAAAACGAGCGGATGTGCGCTGCTTTCAAGGCGTAGCACGAATGGTGTTCGTGCCTGCTTTGACAGTTGTTGTCGATTTTAATGATATTTTTGAAAGTTGGGGTAAAAAGAAATCGGTAAAAGGTAAGGTGAATACTATTGTTGTATATCACACCAATGACATTAAACAACATGATGCGCGACTCCGGCATTTTTGTCCGAAGATCGTATTCGATAGCACGCTCCAATGCACATACTTGACGAGACGATAACGAGCGGATGTGTGCTGCTTTCAAGGCGTAGCACGAATGGTGTTCGTGCCTGCTTTGACAGTTGTTGTCGATTTTAATGATATTTTTGAAAGTTGGGGTAAAAAGAAATCGGTAAAAGGTAAGGTGAATACTATTGTTGTATATCACACCCGGGCATCGCACTGTTAAGTACATGTGGGAAAGCCAGCCTTTGTCAAATACTACGAAGTTATTAATTCAGTACGGTACGTAGTTGCCCATTTGCCGAAATTACATATTTACTTACCCCTTATGGTTTCAAATAGTTCATGCACCTCCAGTTAGATTTTTTTAATCAGTGAGGATATATACTCATTGTTGATTGCTGCTCATTGTAACATACTATTACGCATTCACTTTTATTTGCGTATTGAATCAAAGTGTTAACAAGTTCACCTAACATTTCACTCATACCGGTCTATATTGTATAGTCTGATTTCTCAAGTATTTGGAGCCACGAATGCTTGTAATTTTCTGACTAAACCCTTTTATTAGTTGGTTTATATACCAAATTCAGTAAAATATTTTTTAAATAAAACATGAGATATTGGATTTATTAGCTTTTCCATTCTGAATCATATAGACTGCTTTATTTATTCTTAACGAAAATTAATAAATCTCCTCTCTTTCTTCAGATGTGAAAGTTGTGGACAAACCTGTCTAAGCATTGTGAGACTCTTGCAGCACAAGAGGCAATAGCAGAAATAGTAAGTATATCAATCAAGAAATTAAGCCGACATAAAGCAAAACTTTCAACTATTCGTCTAATCTCAATTTCCTATTATTTATTCACAGGACAACTATAGCAGACGGGGAGATATCAGAAGTCTGGCGACATATCAGTGACAGTGTGATTCCAAGAAATATAATGCAATTGAAAATAGAAAATTGCAATAGAAAAACAACCTATGGAGGCATGCAAAGACATTTGACCCTCCGGTAGAGTTGTGTATGGCCCCCACATCCTGCAGGGCTTGAGGAAAATAACTAAAAATTCCAAAGCGTAAGATTGCAAAGCGGTCTTATTTGTAAAAAGGCACAAAACACGCCAGACATACTTAAAACAGCTTTGGAAATGAGGATTACGGGTACCTCACTGCACCTGTGTTATATTTGGTTCATCAACTTTTGGTAGTACTATAGAAGAAATTCCGGAAGGGGTATAATCATCATTCATGATAAAATACTATCATATATTTTTTGAACAACTTCAATCTAGACCAGGGATCTCAAACTCGCGGCCCCAGAGAACTTCCAGTGCGGCCCTCGAACGCTTAACAATAATTGTAATAGTATTTTGGAAGTTTTTTTTTATCTAAATGTAATAGATTTTTCAAACCTTCTAAAGTGAAATTGATTATTCACACAGAAAACAATTTACTGAAAGTAGTTTTGGAATATTAATTTTTTTTGTCCACATTTTGACCCAATTAAGAATACACATCAAGCTAGCAAAAGAATACTTGAATAAAACACTTGAGTAATTAAATTAAACGCAAAGTACATGAAGAAGGTGGCATTTTCGAAGAAAATGGGAGTTGTAACATTTCTGCTCTTCACAAAATTCTGAAGCACATTGTTTAATTTGTCATATTTCCATCAATACAATCAAAAACACAATAAGCTCAGCAGTCAATATGACAAATTCGAAGACCAACTTCGAACAGAAAATTTCCATGTGTTTGTATATTAATATAATTATACAACGACTTAGTTACTAAAAATCAATATCAATAATAATTCAAGCAATCCTATGCCACGCAATGTAGTGCGAAATGTCTTGTCGAAAAAATCTGTCATTTGTTTTTTTACTGATCTATACATGAAATGATAAAAGTAACTTTTTTGCATTACTGGAATTAATTAAACATTCGTAAAGATCCAGATAAACCCATGATCATGTGGCCTCGTTAGTTAGAGTTGGTACTATAAAATCATTTCAGACTGGCCTTAGTATGCTGGTGACACAAAAAAGATGCCAAACGCCAGGACAAATGTAATTATTAAAACATTGAGTTTATACTGTAGTATTTTTGTTAATTTTAGGTTCATATATTTAGATTAAGTTATTTTTAGTGTATGTATTATTCTTTCCTTATTCAAAGCTTGTTCAAAAATGATTTTGATGGTTGTACATAGAATTTTACGATTTTTTATAATAAATACTGTAACTTGCAAATGTTGCAATAATAGTGGAATGCAAATATTAATATGTAATTGCATTTGAAATTGAAGAAAATAATAAAACTTAATCCAACTGTTTAGTTGCATCACAATATATGTCACAAACTAAAACTATCTTAAAAATATCTTTTAGTATACATTATCAAAAACTGTTTGCGGCTCTTTTTACAATTTTCAAAATGCAATGCGGCTCTCGAAAACCCATGAGTTTGACACCACTGATCTATTTAGACGATTCAAGCATTGCTTTGGGAAATTATATCACTTCAATTAAATTGAAATAATCTCGCTATATTAAATACAAAATCGTTGCTATCATAAAGGTAAACCAATTCAGCCACTCGAAATATATTGGCCTTCACAAAGCAATGGAGGCAAAATTGAGAGTTCATGAGCTATGAACATTTGTTCTTTTCTTTGTCTTGAACTTTCCATACTCCACAGCCCCTATTAATTTTTTTAATTTTAATTACCATGTGATGGTCATACATATCTTTAACTTGTATTTTCTGTCATGATGTATTATCTCAATGTGCCAAACTATTAATTAGTGTGCATATTTTGCTTCCAGATGACATAAATGTATTGTCATGTTTATTACCTCAGCTTGGAGTATTGACAAGAAAAAGGTGCCAGTAAATTAGGTAAAAAAATTTTCAACTCATTGTTATAATCAGAATTCACAATCAATAGGAATTATAAACAGCCAACAATCAGTGAGAATTATATGCGAAATCCCTCAGAATAAATTTGTCTAAAATCGGAGGAAGGCAAAAAATATAGGTAGTTTCCATCCACACAAGCATTTCAAGAAGACTTGCTCGAGCCAAACTAAATGAGCATCGTCAGGTGATCGGTAAGGCTGCAAGTTGAATTCAGCCCTGCAACCTCCTGCATAGAAGATAATATTAATTAGTGGGCTATGAGCTAAATTCCTAAATTTAAACAAACCTATCTACGATGCATTATGTACCAGCAATGTTACCTACGATTAACTGAATATGTAATATGTCTAATAAATTCACCTACAAAAGCAAGTTCGATAGGTGCAAACTTTGTGTTATGGAATTGTATCGCAGCACAGTTTTGTATGACACCCTCTTTAAATGAAATTTCAATGATTAAGCGCAAACATTAAAATTACTAACTTTGAACTTTGTCATTATCTGCAAAATGTTCCACACAAATCTTTCCGCTATCGCGTTTGTAATCTTCTCTGATAAAAAAAAAGTCTATGATGTCCAGAATTGCTCTTTACAGCTTGCCTGTTATTCCAGCTTTCCAAGTAAGCAAAACTTCTTAGATATAGAGATTATTTTGTTTCGTTACAGGCGCAAAAAGGCAGGTACTACACGTAAAAAAGACGCCGAGTAGCAAAAGCGAGCGGAAAACGGACGCGAAAGGCGACGAGAAATATGTGCATTGGAGCGTATCATGAAATACAATGTTTTGCCTGTAGTCTTATGGAGGGACGTCAGAGTTGCCTATCATGTTGTTTAATGTCATTGATCACACCCGGGCATCGCACTGTTAAGTACATGTGTGAAAGCCAGCCTTTGTCAAATACTACGAAGTTATTAATTCAGTACGGTACGTAGTTGCCCATTTGCCGAAATTACATATTTACTTACCCCCTTATGGTTTCAAATAGTTCATGCACCTCCAGTTAAATTTTTTTAACCAGTGAGGATATATACTCATTGTTGATTGCTGCTCATTGTAACATACTATTACGCATTCACTTTTATTTGCGTATTGAATCAAAGTGTTAACAAGTTCACCTAACATTTCACTCATACCGGTCTATATTGTATAGTCTGATTTCTCAAGTATTTGGAGCCACGAATGCTTGTAATTTTCTGACTAAAGCCTTTTATTAGTTGGTTTATATACCAAATTCAGTAAAATATTTTTTAAATAAAACATGAGATATTGGATTTATTAGCTTTTCCATTCTGAATCATATAGACTGCTTTATTTATTCTTAACGAAAATTAATAAATCTCCTCTCTTTCTTCAGATGTGAAAGTTGTGGACAAACCTGTCTAAGCATTGTGAGACTCTTGCAGCACAAGAGGCAATAGCAGAAATAGTAAGTATATCAATCAAGAAATTAAGCCGACATAAAGCAAAACTTTCA